TCCATAAACACACCAGCCAGCTGTTGTGTTTGTTATTTTTTTTCTTCATTTTGTATGATCCTCGTAACCTGCAAGAATGTTTAGTCTTGTTTTCCATTTCCACCCTTTTTCACTCAGTTGTTGACCAACGTTTACGTGTGACATTTTGGGCTAGTGTAATCGTCCTCTGTAACTGCCCTTTGTTCCCTTACACATTAGCCTACACACTGTCTCAAAGCTTCTCAAATTCTCCCGCTGCAAGACTACAAATGTAATTTCAGTTGCCTGTTGATCGACCCGTTGTTTTTAGCCCATGTCTAAAGTCAGTCTTAGGTTTTATTGATTCAATAGGTCAACATTTATATTTTCCCTAGAACCAGTGGACTTGCCTCCGAGGGGCCAGAGTTGTTATGAATAAGCCCAAGTTCCAAATCATTTTTACACAAAAGATATGTGTCCAAAGCTCCATCTTGTGATCCCACGGTCATTCATCAGAAAAATAAAAACCTGTTTATTGAATTTTTGTCTTATCTTTTCTAGGAAATGCAGTTTGCTCCCAGCACAACGAGAACATTTACGTATCAGGGATTTCTAATGGTAAGTTGGTTTCATCATAAATAATCTGATCTAGGCTATCTCTCAGCTCCCGAGTGGCGCAGTGGTCTAAGGCATTGCATCGCAGTGCTAGCTGTTCCACTAGAGATCCTGGTTCGAATCCAGGCTCTGTCGTAGCCGGCCGCGACCGGGAGACCCATGGGGCGGCGTATAATTGACCCAGCGTCGTCCAGGGTAGGGGAGGGATTGGCCGGCAGGGATGTAGCTCAGTTGGTAGAGCATGGCGTTTGCAACACCAGGGTTGTGGGTTCGTTTCCCACGGGGGGCCAGTATGAAAAATAAAACAGTAATGTATGCACTCACTAACTGTAAGTCGCTCTGGATAAGAGCGTCTGCTAAATGACTAAAATGGAAGACATTCACACATAGCATTTTGTGTGACAGTGTTGAGTTACTACTGTGTTTTTAGGCAGGAGAGTGGGATAGGCCTACTCTCTTAAGAGGCGTTACGGAAGCCTGAAAACTACTTATGTTTTTATTTAAACCTCCCGTTTTCGGCTTGACTTGTCAATGTATTTTATGAATTTTTCTTAGCGTTTTAACATTAAGAACAATTGTCCATTTGTCACATCCCTAGGCTGGACCAGAAATAACAATCGATGTGAAATGTGTGGGCATTTCAGCCGCAAATACATTTGATCATTTTCAACCCGAGCAGAAACAGTGGTCACAATCCTATTTCCTAAATGGTGTCACTGATGTGCGTTGTTGAATTTGGGGACTATTTCATAAGGATTTTAGCTTACTATTTTGTATTTTGTACCCTGCTTTTCTCCCCAATTTTGTGATATCCAATTGCGATCCAATCTTGTCTCATCGCTGCAACTCCCCAACGGGCTCGGGAGAGGCGAGTCATGTGTCCTCTGAAACATGACCCGCTGCTTCTTAACCCGGAAGCCAGCCGCACCAATGTGTAGGAGGAAACACTGTTCAACTGACGACAGAAGTCAGCTTGCAGGCTCCCGGTCCCCCACAAGGTGTCGCTAGAGTGCATTTAGCCAAGGAAAGCCCACCGGCCAAACCCTCTTCTAACCCGGACAACGCTGGGCCAATTGTGCACCGCCCTATGGGACTCCCGGATCCCCAGGCTGTAGTGACGCCTTAACACTGCAATGCAGTGCCTTAGACCGCTGCGCCACTCAGGAGGGCCACGACACATTTTTAGTCACTCCATAAATGTATACGCTACAGAAGCTAACAGTTTTCTTTCACCCACTATTGATAAGAAAATTGTGGACTACCTTCCTGATTCCATAGTGTCCTTTATTATTATTATTATTATTATTATTATTATATATCTTTTTTAATTTAGGGGGTAGATCAGCTTTAATATTGCAGATAGATTGTAACTTCCTTCAATGTAATTGTCTGCATCACTTCCAATCCCCCATGTTTTCTTTCTCGAAAAAAAATTATATATATATATATATATATATATACACAGTGAGGGGAAAAAAGTATTTGATCCCCTGCTGATTTTGTATATTTGCCCACTGACAAAGACATGATCAGTCTGTAATTTTAATGGTAGGTTTATTTGAACAGTGAGAGACAGAATAACAACAACAAAATCCAGAAAAATGCATGTAAAGAATGTTATAAATTGATTTGCATTTTAATGAGGGAAATAAGTATTTGACCCCTCTGCAAAACTTGACTTAGTACTTGGTGGCAAACCCTTGTTGGCAATCACAGAGGTCAGACGTTTCTTGTAGTTGGCCACCAGGTTTGCACACATCTCAGGAGGGATTTTGTCCCGCTCTTCTCCAAGTCATTAAGGTTTCGAGGCTGACATTTGGCAACTCGAACCTTCAGCTCCCTCCACAGATTTTCTGGAGACTGGCTAGGCCACTCCAGGACCTTAATGTGCTTATTCTTGAGCCACTCCTTTGTTGCCTTGGCCGTGTGTTTTGGGTCATTGTCATGCTGGAATACCCATCCACGACCCATTTTCAATGCCCTGGCTGAGGGAAGGAGGTTCTCACCCAAGATTTGACGGTACATGGCCCCGTCCATCGTCCCTTTGATGCGGTGAAGTTGTCCTGTCCCCTTAGAAGAAAAACACCCCCAAAGCATAATGTTTCCCCATGTTTGACGGTGGGAATGGTGTTCTTGGGGTCATAGGCAGCATTCCTCCTCCTCCAAACACGGTGAGTTGAGTTGATGCCAAAGAGCTCGATTTTGTTCTCATCTGACCACAACACTTTCACCCAGTTCTCCTCTGAATCATTCAGATGTTCATTGGCAAACTTCTGACGGGCCTGTATATGTGCTTTCTTGAGCAGGGGGACCTTGCGTCGCTGCAGGATTTCAGTCCTTCACGGCGTAGTGTGTTACCAATTGTTTTCTTGGTGACTATGGTCCCAGCTGCCTTGAGATAATTGACAAGATCCTCCCGTATAGTTCTGGGCTGATTCCTCACCGTTCTCATGATCATTGCAACTCCACGAGGTGAGATCTTGCATGGAGCCCCAGGCCGAGATTGACAGTTCATTTGTGTTTCTTCCATTTGCGAATAATCACACCAACTGTTGTCACCTTCTCACCAAGCTGCTTGGCGATGGTCTTGTAGCCCTTTCCAGCCTTGTGTAGGTCTACAATCTTGTCCCTGACATCCTTGGAGAGCTCTTTGGTCTTCGCCATGGTGGAGAGTTTGGAATCTGATTGATTGATTGCTTCTGTGGACAGGTGTCTTTTATACAGGTAACAAGCTGAGATTAGGAGCACTCCCTTTAAGAGTGTGCTCCTAATCTCAGCTCGTTACCTGTATAAAAGACACCTGGGAGCCAGAAATCTTTCTGATTGAGAGGGGGTCAAATACTTATTTCCCTCATTAAAATGCAAATCAATTTATAACATTTTTGACATGTGTTTTTCTGGATTTATTTGTTGTTATTCTGTCTCTCACTGTTCAAATAAACCTACCATTAAAATTATAGACTGATCATTTCTTTGTCAGTTTTTTCCCTCACTGTATATATACATTAATATATTATATATATATATTAGGTCTGCACGATATATCGTTTCAGCATCGACATTGCGATGTATGCATCCGCAATAGTCACATCACAGAATGTGCGATTTAGTAAGGTAAACATATATCAGTCTACAATGTATATCTTTTTAAAATGTTAAACTAGTATTATATCTGTCTGATATAATGTAATTTACTCCGATTTATGGGTTATTGGATACACAGTTTATTATTATTATTATTATTATTATTATTATTATTTTAAACACTGAGTTCGTTGCTGCACGTAGTTGACATGCAGGCTCTGCTTGCGTGTGACGAAATAATTAGCGAGGAACAGGCAAAAAAGACCGAAATGGATAATGTGGTTGCAAAAAGAAATGCATTGGAGGGCATTGAGATGCTTTGCACTCGTCATACGAAGATTTGTGGTGCCGCCTTAAATGATCAAACAAATTGGTCGTGTTGCCTCGTGTTTTGCCAACAATTGCAAGGCACTCTCGACAAAGTACCTGTTTTTGGTCAACATCATCCTGTCTGTAGCCAAAATATTTCCACATAATTGACGATGCATTTCGAAATTCTCCATTTCGGTCTTTTTTGCCTGTTCCTCGCTAATTATTTCATCACATCGCACGTTCTGCGACGTGACTATTGCGGATGCATACATCGCAATGTCAATGCTGAAACGATATATAGCCCTAGTTTTAAGAAAAATAATTGTTAAGTACAAAATAGATAAGTAACAAATAATTAAGGAGCAGCAGTAAAATAAAATAACAATAGGGAGGCTATATACAGGGATACCGGTACAGAGTCAATGTGCTTATTTGAGCTGTTCTTGCCATAATATGGACTTGGTCTTTTACCAAATAGGGCTTTCTTCTGTATACCCCCCCTACCTTGTCACAACACAACTGATTGACTCAAGCTCATTAAGAAGGACAGGAATTCCACAAATTAACTTTTAGCAAGGCACACCTGTTAGTTGAAGTGCATTCCAGGTGACTAACTCGTGAAATTGAGAGAATGCCAAGAGTGTGCAAAGCTGTCATCAAGGCAAAGGGTGGCTACTTTGAAGAATCTCAAATATAAAATATATTTTGATTTGTTTAACACTTTTTTGGTTACTACATGATTCCATATGTGTTATTTCATAATTGTGATATCTTCACTCTTATTCTACAATGTAGAAAATAGTACAAATAAAGAAAAACCCTGGAATGAGTAGGTGTGTCCAAACCTTTTGACTGGTAGTGTATGTAAGGTGGTTCCCAATCGGGGACCCGTTTTGGCTTGCGAGCACTACTTTCAAAACTACCGGCCAAAATAATTCAAAACCTCTAACATCACTTGAAATGCTCATTTGTGTGTGTGTGTGCGCGCCTGTCTGTGTCCGTGTGTGTCTCTCTGGCCAGCCTGTGGAGATATGGCGGAGCAGATCAGGGCGTCCAGTGGAGTGATAACCAGCCCTGGCTGGCCCTTCCAGTACCCGTCCAGGATCAACTGCAGCTGGAACATCAGGACCAACCCTGGGGAAATCATCACCATCAGGTACAGCTGAACACCATCTCCTCTCCACAATCTATACCTCTCCTCCTTTCTTCTTCCTCCTCTCCCTCAGCACTTCTCTCCATCTCTCCCCTTCCTCTTCCCTCCCTCAGTCTGTCATCAGCCTGGCTGGCTGCGCACACTTCCCACGCGCTAAAAGGGCCTGATTAATGCAGAGGCTGAAGCCCCGGGGCCCAAGCCAGTATGGTGCCCTTGAGCAGATAAATATGTGTATCTTTAATTTTGTTTTACTGCAACCACCAACCACAGGAGCCCGCTCTCAATGAGTGTAGATAGTCTGCCACTCTGCAAATCAACAGATGGGGGAGGAGGTCGGGGGAGAGTAATTTTAGCAGTTTTAAAGCTAATTACCAGCAATTCTACACATTTTGCCATGACATGCCATGTTAATGATGTCTGAATGAGATCGATTAACAAAATCAATGGGGGCCCACTGGAGCCCTGTGTGTCCAGTCGGTATTCGGCCATGATTACTACAAGTTTAGATTGCTGGTAAGGATATGACAAATGGACAATTTTTCATAACATTTAAATGACCTTTTTTTTTATTTTATATTGGTTTTCTGTTAAAACTGTTAAGAAAAAACCAAAGCCCTGGGGCCTATGATTTGTTAATCCGGCCCTGCGTGCTAGCTTCTCCTCAGAGTACTAGCTCAGCTCAGCTGAAACAGTTAGGGCTTGGATTTGCGGTACTGTAGACTATAGGCCTAGGTGCTGCTGTGTAATGCTCTGATGAAGGTCTGTTTAGACCGAATGCTTCGCTCATGAAATGTCAGTGTGCAGAGATCTTTCTTCAGGTACTGTATACTGCACATGACAACGCCCTCTCTCACACTCATTGTGTGTTTTATACAGTTTAAATGTGTCCATTTGAAGTAATGTGTTTTTTATTCATTTTGATGATGCTCTTCAGATGGGCTTTCATTGTGCTTGTAGTGTCCTGTTTGTTCGCGAAGCATCAGCTCAAGTACAAGTATTGTGTTTTCTGTCTGGACCGACCAGAGCGCTGAAAGGAACCCGCCTTTTCTTTATTCCAGTGCTGTGTCCATGGTTACCAGCACAGAAATAGACCCTCTGTGTTTGTGTTGTTTTTTCTACAGGATGTGATTTAATTGCAAGATGAAAACCGAAAACGCAATCTATCAATGACCAAAAATGGGCAACAGAGCTTGCACACAAACACTTGATAAATTCACTAAATTAGTGAATGTGTTAGTAATAGGTTAGTAGTAAGTGTTTATACTCAAGTGGTGGTTATGCACATTAATAATATAAGTGGTTATGCTTTACTTTTAAGTAAAAGCAGTTGAGTTATTTGCTATGTCATTGATTTAACTGTTTTCATTGAGTCTCATCCAATGTACTCTAACCCTGGAGGAAAGTCACTCAGTCTTACCAGTGATCATCTTTATTGTTGGGGAATTTCTTTCAACTGTTTGCTTTTTTCCAGCATGTACCCTATGAAAGTCGCTCATATCGGTGACATCCAGTTTACAGACTTCGACTAGCAATTAATGTGATGTGGTTTTCTTACCTACTTCAGTTGAATGCACTTATTGTAATTCACTCTGGATAAGAGTGTCCAAAAGCTAGAATCCTTAATTGGTGAAACTGCCACGTCCGTTTGGAATATTACAAGAAGTTACTGCAAACAACAAACACTTTTTTTCCCTCTAACATCAATGCACGTATCATAGAACAGCAGAACATTTACTGAAAAACAATAAAGGCGCTGGGGCGAACAGTGGTGCTCTTTCCCCAAATGCGGATTTGTCCTTTAACTTAGTAAAATGTACAGTACATGAATCATTTTTACTGTCTGTAAACCTTATTTAACCCCTTTGCCATTTCTCCCCCCAGCTTCCAGGACTTCGAGATCCAGAACTCTCACCGTTGCGGGCTGGACTGGGTTTCCATCGGCACCTACAAGAACGTGGATGGCTACCGGGCATGTGGCTCGTCCATCCCAGCCCCCTACATTTCTTCCCAGGACCACGTGTGGATCAAGTTCCACTCGGACGACATCATGACCGGCAAGGGCTTCAGGCTGTCTTACATAACAGGTAGCACAGCTCGCAGAGTCATCTTATTTATATCTGTCAGCGAGGGCTACTGTACGGTCTGGTCAGCGATGACACCCGGTGTCATATGGACGGACGTCTAGTGGTGGTGGTGATGATTTTGCCGTGGCCAGGCAGTGCGGCTGACAGCTGAGCTGAGCTCCTGTACAGTAGTCTCTCAAATCCCTGTCTCATCCCGCTCTCGCGCTCTGTCTTTCTCTCTCTCTCTCCCTGACTGTGTGCAATTCCCTCTCTCACACAAGGTGCGCCTTCACCGCAGTCCAGACACTAATTCAATGTGACCGAGCAACAATGTGTGACCAGCGCACCTTGACCAAATAATTGAATTAGTCATGTATTTGTAACACTAGTGAGACACGCACACTTTAACTGGAAATATATATACATTTGTATCCTAACGAGCTCGGAGGAGAGAATGATGACGGGTTGTAAATGGCTTACAGCTGCAATGTGAGCCTCTATTCCTCGAACGCTGCGGCCTCTGGAAAAACTGGAAATGAATAATTGTCTCGCTTGGCACTTTATGCACTTGAAGCAGCCTTTTGTTTTTTTGTACTGCTCTCTCTCACTATGCCCTTCTCTCTCTGTTGTCTCCAAGCATTGGCTTTTCAAATGTGTCTGTGACAGAGGCTCAGAGGCTCATGGACTGTGAACATCTATAAATGACTGTATGAAGCACTGCTTATATAATGTTGATGGTGCACAGCTTGTACAATAGGCACTATCATTGTACATAATTAAACTAAATGATCCCACATTATTTCCCCTCGATTGTCACTAATGGTAAAATATTTGTAAGTGGTCACTCAGTGCATTAAATGGTGGTATTTCCTAATACTCTCAATTTCAGGAAAATCGGAGATGATCAGCTGTGACTCGGACCAGTTCCACTGCTCCAACGGGAAGTGCATCCCGAAGTCGTGGAAGTGCAACACCATGGACGAGTGTGGTGACAACTCTGACGAGGAGCTGTGCGTCCAGCCCAACCCCTCCGCAGCCTTCTCCTTCCAGCCCTGTGCCTTCAACCAGGTAGAGATTACTGACTTTGTGTAGTCTAGGTCAAGGGGATTGTGTATTTGTATATATTGTATGTATTTTCCAATTTAATTGAATATAAAGTGCCTTTGGGGTGTTAAATGTACAGCCAATCTTGTGCGCTGTCCATTCTTTTGGCCACCTGATAAAAACAAGGACCACAATGGAAATAGGTTTGTAGACTTTATTGTGTTTTTAATCTCCTACGATTTTTGTTGAATGTATTGTTGTACTCCCATGGCCGAGGCAACAATATGTCTTTTTAAATTTGTCAAATAAAATTCCTTCATTACTTTATTCAGTTTCCCTGCCTGTCCCGCTACACCCGTGTCTACACCTGCCTGCCCGAGTCGCTCAAATGTGATGGCAGCATCGACTGCCAGGACCTTGGTGACGAGATTGACTGCGATGTGCCGACCTGCGGCGACTGGCTGCGGAACTTCTACGGCACCTTCAGCTCGCCCAACTACCCTGACTTCTACCCACCAGGCAGCAACTGCACCTGGCTCATCGACACGGGCGACCACCGCAAGGTTGGTACTCTGATTCTTTTGCCTGTCTGAGAACGAGGACCGAACAAAATGGATGTGGCTAGGACTGTTAATTGTATTGTTTGTTTGTGTATTGTTGTACAGTATTCACATGGCTGAGACAACTGTGGGTTTGTCTAAAATGACACCTTATCCCTATATATCCCTATCCCTATATTTCCACGCCACGCTGCTCTTTCACGCCACGCTGCTCGTTGGTAAGCAAATGCTCCTGCTACCTGTCTCTTCTTAACTTGTTGACTGGTGTTTTGGCTCACTGCCCTGCAATTTATTGCTTGCTTCTACAGCACCAACTTGCGAGTTGGACATCTCCCGCTCGTAGTGTCTATGTGTGTGACTAAGGTGTGTATTGCTTGTGTGTTTGCCATTTCACAGGCTGTGCTTGTTTCAGGAGGCTGGGTGCGGCCTGTATTTGCAAACCCACTGTAGCTTATAGCAAACTCGTAGTAAATTCCTGTCAAGAAGAGCGACACGGAAGCCCAGTTAGCCTAGCTAGCCTGTAGTTTCAAATGGAGGTCGCTAACAAACGGTTTCAACGCTGCAGGAGCTGTGTTTATTTTGCTCAATTCGAGGACAATGTGCACCGTCCAGACTTTCAATGTAGCAGCTGTTTGCTCGCGGAGGACTACAGAGGCGAAGTGGCTACTCTTAGCAAACAAGTAGCAAACTTACTCAAGCTACTGGGGAATCCACATCCGCCCAACTTTCTGTTTCTCTTCTACTCCAGTAGCTGGACGCCATTCTGACCTGATGGAAGTGTCGCCGCTGTGTCGTCTCGCCATAACCGATTGGCCGGTGCTCTGCAGGGATCCCTCCCCCGAAGGGGTCTCCGCCTTCCCTGGTGAATGGAGTTAGTGGGATGCTTCTGGAGGACTTAGTGGACGTTCCTATTCTTGACCCTGCCAACCAGCCATGGAGTCAAGTCACTCGCCGTGGAAGTCGAAAGCAGCGGCCTTTGGCAATTGGGGCCTCCTTGGCGGTGGGAAGACTTCAGATTCACCACCCTGGATCCAGAGGTTCCGGCGCCTTCATCCCTGGGGGCTTCAGCTTCGAGATCGGATCCGGAGGTACCTGCAACTTCGGCCCCTGTTCTGACTCCCTCTCCGGTGGCTTCTACGGTGAATGAGGCTTTGTTGGTTATAGGAGGCTCGAACTGGGTGCCTTGGCACCACGCACGCCCGGAACCTGCTGGCGTGCGAGGTTCCACCTCTGGTAAATCCTTGATGGGTCTCTCGAATCATGCGAGGTGTAGGAATGGGCGGATTTCCTCTTCCATTTTGCCGGCTGTTGTCTTAAGCAGCTCTATGGTGAGAAACGTATTGGTTTCTGGAGCAAAAACCCTGTGCTACCCCGGGGCTCGAGTACAGGATATTACTAGACTGCTCTCCACCTTTCTACGTCAGCACACAGAGATCGATGCGGTTGTAGTCCATGGGGGATTTAATGACGTTAGGAATGGTTGCTCGGAACGGATGAAACATGATTTAGAAGAATATATTGGGTCTCTGCTGGATGCCAAAAAACGTCCTATCATTTCTGGCCCTGTGCCCTCGCTGGGTCAAGGTAGTGAACATTTTAGCAAGCTACTAGCACTTCACAACTGGCTACGTGACTACTGCAGCTCCTTGGGTGTGACCTTGTGTAGAAAACTTTGACAACTTTTGGAAGCAGAGGATGCTCTGTAAGGAGGATGGGATCCACCCTAATCATTTGGGTGGATGGATCCTGTCCAAACACTACAAGGCAGCGCTGAGGCAATGACTGATCAAATCAAGCTCCTCAAAGGTATTACTCCCATTTAAATTGCAGCGATATCATTCCGCCACAGCTTCCCATGTTGATAGGGGGTATTGTAAATAGTAATTCTGTGCCTGTTAATTTAAATTCCATTGATAGCTCTCTTAGCTTCCTTAAGGAACCCACTGTTGTTAGCGCCACCTAATGCTATTAATAGTTTTATGCTATCAGTAGTTTTATAAAAAACAATGTCCTATCCCGGAGCTCGAGTAAATTACATTACTAAGCTGCTCCCGAATGTACTACGTCAGGACATGGAAATCGATTCTATCGTAGTCCATGTGGGTTTTAATGACATAATGAAGGGCAGCTCTGAACAGTTGAAACTGGATTTTAAAGAGCTGATGGACTCTCTGCTAGACAAATAAAAGACTTGTCATATTTGGCCCTGTGCCCTCTCTGAATAATGGCATTGAATGCTTTAGCATGATTCTTTCTCTTCACAACTGGCTACGTGATTATTGCAGGTCAATGGGTGTAACTTTTGTTGACAATTTCGATACCTTTTGGAAACAAAACCCGTTTTATAATGAGAATGGGATCCACCCAAATCATTTGGGTTCATGGATCCCTTCATAGCATTATATGGCGGCGTTGAGACAATGACTTCAAATCAAATTTTAACAGGTGTAGACCTTACAGTGAAACGCTTACTTACAAGCCCTTAACCAACAATGCAGTTTTAAGAAAAAAAGTGTTAAGTAAAAAACAGATGAGTAAAAAATAATTAAAGAGCAGCAATAAAATAACAGTAGGGAGGCTATATACAGGGGGTACCGGTACAGAGTCAATGTGCGGGGGCACCGGTTAGTCGAGGTAGTTGAGGTAATATATACATGTGGGTAGAGTTAAAGTGACTATGCATAGATAATAAACAGAGAAGCAACAGCGTAAAAAAGGGGGTGGGGGGACAATGCAAGTAGTCCGGGTAGCCATTATTAGCTGTTCAGTAGTCTTATGGCTTGGGGGTAGAAGCTGTTAAGAAGCCTTTTGGACCTAGACTTGGCGCTCCGGTACCGCTTGCCGTTCGGTAGCAGAGAGAACAGTCTATGACTAGGGTGGCTGGAGTCTTTCACCATTTGTAGGGCCTTCCTCTGACACCACCTGGTATAGAAGTCCTGGATGGCAGGAAGCTTAGCCCCAGTGATGTACTGGGCCGTACGCACTACCCTCTGTAGGGCCTTGCGGTCGGAGGCAGAGCAGTTGCCATACCAGGCAGTGATGCAACCAGTCAGGATGCTCTCGATGGTGCAGCTGTATAACTTTTTGAGGATCTGAGGACCCATGCCAAATCTTTTCAGTCTCCTGAGGGGGAATTGGCTTTGTCGTGCCCTCTTCACGACTGTCTTGGTGTGTTTGGACCATGATAGTTTGTTGGTGATGTGGACACCAAGGAACTTGAAGCTCTCAACCTGTTCCACTACAGCCCCGTCGATGAGAATGGGGGCGTGCTCAGTCCTCTTTTATTTTTTTTCTGTAGTCCACAATCATCTCCTTTGTCTTGATCACTTTGAGGGAGAGGTTGTTATCTTGGCACCACATGGCCAGGTCTCTGACCTCCTCCCTATAGGCTCTCATTGTTGTCTGTGATCAGGCCTACCACTGTTAATTGCCTTGCGGAGTGAGTAGCTACACTGTTTGTATTCTGCCATATTCCCAGTCACCTTGCCATTGTTAAATGCGGTGGTTCGCGCTTTCAGTTTTGCGTGAATGCTGCCATCTGTCCACGGTGTCTGGTTAGGGTAGGTTTTAATAGTCTCACAGTTGGCACAACATCACCTATATACTTCCTGATAAACTCAGTCACCGGTTTCAGTGTATTCGTCTAAATTATTTTCGCAAGCTACCCGGATGCATACACACACACGATAACATACGCACTATACACACACGTACACATGGATTTTGTGTTTATAGATATGTGGTAGTGGGGTAGGGGCCTGAGGGCACACACTTAGTGTGTTGTGAAATCTTTTATGAATGTATTGTGATGTTTTAAAAATTGTATAACTGCCTTAATTTTGCCGAACCCCACGAAGAGTAGGTAATGCCTTGGCAGCAGCTAATGGGGATCCATAATAATGCTCATAAGCATAGGGGTATTGTCGGCAGTAATCTTGTGCACATTTACCTGAATTCTACAGTTTTTTTTGGGGGGGGGGGGGGGGGTAGATCAGCTTAATATTGCAGATAGATTATAACTTCCATCAATGTAATTGTCTGCATCACTTCCAATCCCCCATGTTTAAAAAAAAATATACATATATACATACATACATACATACATACATACATACATACATACATACATATCCTTAAAAAATATATATATATTCCCCTTTATTACTTTCCAACCCCGCCACCCTTTCCCCAACTGGAGTAAACTAGTGAACAACAACGCCTAGGCCACTACTTCCAGCCCATACCCACTATCTACATTTTATGGACACAGTCAATTTTACAGTAATTACATTTTGTTTGTTCTTTCTCCTGAACTTCTTCTACTCTCAACCTTTCCGATCATTTTCATGATGTCCATCCGGTTTGCTTCTATATGCCATATCTTTCTAACTGTGCTCCTTCACAAAAGCTCTCAACCTACAACCCATACACTTATTATGGACACAGCGTGCCTACATTATTAGTTATCTTGTTATTGTTTGTTGTTGGTTGTTATTAGTCCCATCCTTCAATTCCATTCAACACCTCCCATCTATCTTTTAACACCATCCATATAGGATTTCTATTTGCCATATATATTTCAACTGTACTGTGATGTCTTACAAAAGTTCTGAACCTTTCTATTCTCATTGTTTCTACAGATTGTGAATTGAAAATAACAAAAATTTGCTAATAGTATTAGCAAAAGAAATCCGCAGGGTTAGCTCCAGGTAAATATTGCAATCCTTTAGCCATTCCTGGACCTGTGTCCAAAAACAAGCTACAAATGGACAGTACCAAAACAAATGATCTAATGATTCTGTCTCTTCGCAGCAAAATCTGCAGAGCTGGGAAGATTGTATCCCCCATATAAATAACATTCTACTTGGTAGCAAGAATTGTATATAATAATGTAAATTGAAAGATTCTAAGTTTTGAATCCGGTGTTGTTTTGCGTATCAGTTCATAAACACTATGCCATGGGATCGGTACGTCAAAAATCTCTTCCCAACTATTTTGCAATC